CAAGAGTTTGAAAAGGATACTAGAAGGGAAGGAGGTTGAGATTACATAAACTCTAACAGGGAGCACCGTCGCTCAGGTGCTGGCCATCTCCTACGGGCCTCTGGTCGCCTCCGCCGTCCACAGCCACAGCGGCCCCGTCGCCGGCAGGGCGGCGATCCACCTCACGACGGCATGGGCGGCGGCCTGCTTCGGGTACTCCGTCGCCACGTACAGGCTGAGCGTTGGGAGCCTGCAGGTTGACAGGCCCGCTCACCCCGAATGGCACTCCCGTCGGAGCATAGAGGGCGAGACAATTATGGACGTGTATTGTTGTCTCATGGTTATGATTCCCACCTTGTTCCTCGCTGTTCCGGTGACATGGATCATTCAAAACATGGCATGGATGAAGGAAAACGACTTTGTGCTGGCTCTGACGTGTTTAACAATGATCACCACGGTGTTGCTTTACCTTTGGTCTATACCTCTGGTCAGCAGGGTAGCCATTGTATCTGTGGATGCCATGTTTCGTCTTATGGTTGTTTTCATGGCATCGTTCGCTCCCAGCTTTGTTCTCGCCCTCTTCGGTCGTCTTCTGTTGCTGTATTACTTCTCGATATCGATGATGATGATGGCAGTTATGTTTGGGTATGTCTTTGCTGCGAATCAGCACAGGTAAGATTTGAGTTTACTGTGTCATGGAAACAATGCTTTTCCTGAATTTTCTCTAGTACTTATACATGTACCACATGCATGGAAAAAAAATCCTAATGTGTACGTATTTGATATACTACTTTTCTGCAGTGATGCACTACGAAATACTACCGAAGTGGGCATGTCTTACATTAATTCTACATAAACATTTTTCTTGCAATATGTTCTGATGTACTGTGGTAACATTTAAGATTCAGCAAACAGTTAACAATCGTGTGTTTTGCAAACTTCGCTTTTCCTGAATTTTCTGTAGTATACGTGTACCACATGCAGGGAAAATGCAGAGTAATATATATTTGATATACTTTTCTGCAATGATGCATAGGCATGTATATGTTTCTACCGTGGTAACGTTTAAGGTTCAAGAAACAGTTGACATTGCGGATCCCCGTATGAAAGCATTGCTAGTTTAACAGGAACATCTTTGGTTTCCTCAAAAAAAAAGAACAGGAACATATTGCTAGTTTTGAAGCTGTCTATAATTTTGTTCATCTTGCATTTTTTATTGAGAGAAATAGTATACTACTCTCTCCGTCCCAAAATAAGTGACTCAACTTTATACTAACTTTAGTACAAAATTAGTACAAAGTTGAGTCACTTATTTTGGGACGAAGAGAGTACTATTTATCTAATGGTGGGTGCATTGGTGTAGGAAATTTTTTGCGAGCTTGGTTTTGCTTGAAGTTAAGGACGACAATGGAGAAGCAAGAAGTCGTCCAACAAGGTCCTGAAACAGTGTTCACGCGCAAGAGGAAGTGAAGCTCAAATATCTCTGGGTTGGGTGTCCTTGCTTTTCTAAGAACTAGCTGGATTCCCAAGTACTACTAAACTAGACATATTTTGGCACTAGCTGCTTGACTCCTATTGATGCTGAGCAAATATGTAATTGTTACCAATCATTTAGTTCTTTGAGTCTATCCGGATTATTGAGCCTGGCGTAGCATTGACATGAATGCTGCTAATTGAAGATTGAAATTGCGCTTCTTGGGATCATGTACTTCGTTAGAGACGTAGTAGAACAAAAAAAATCTGAGCCTACGAATCATCTCAGGATCACTATGAAGATGCAAGTGACATTATATCTAGATTAGATTGCTCACTAACAAAATGTAACGGGAGGAGAGTTGATGAAGCGTGTTGATGCAGATTCCTGCAGCTAGGATTAAACCTTACAAGCGCGAGAATTTCTCCTTTGAATTAGTTCGCCGATCTAGTATCTACGGTATCCACACATACCGAAGTAATGGTTCAGTAGAGCTTTGCTGTCCGAAACAAAGAACCACCAAGAAAACTAGAGGAGCAGCCTAGCAGCGTTCCGATTTAGAACAGATCTAGATCGAGGAGAAACGGGGCGCGGGTAAGTAGAGATGGGCAGCCGTGGGGCTTGCGGTGCCTTTGGCGTGTCTCCGCCCCACCATGTCGTCCTTGTACTCTACGTGAGCCCGACGCTGTCTCACTGAGCCGCCCCCGTGCTGCTTGTGCACCCAGCGAGATGCAGAGGAGGGACATGCCGTCGTGTGCGCTTTGCCCGTCGGCGCCCTCCGGCGGCTGCAAGGGGGGTCGTAGGAGCGGGGGTGGTGTTTAGCGATGGATAGGGTTTTCTCCCGGGCCGCTATGGACAGCGACACGGAAGTCATGATAGATTGAGACCGTTAGGCGCCGGTTAGAAAACTACATTGAAAATTTGTTGGAACATAGAAAAGTGAAACCAACCAAACTGAGCTCAGTGTTGACCCTATACAAAAAGCAAAGCATAAAACTTCTATGACTATCCCTTACCATTCATGTTTGATATACCCTAACCAAACTCCCCACCCCCTCATGCCACCACCCCAGGGCGGCGTCAAGGGGATCAGATCCCAGCGCCGCCAGCCCCACAATCCACAGCGAAAGAGCCTGCCCGCTGCCGCCGGCATTGGCCGCGGTGGCGGTGGCGCCCGGTGCAAGGCGCTGAGGCAGGAGGAGGCGGCGGTAACCCCTCGAGGCGGCTGGGGCACCTCAGGTTGGGGGCTTCGTCGTGCCACGGCAGGGCGGCTCCCTGGCCGTGCGGCGGCAGCCGATGACCCCATGGCTGGTGGTGCTGGCGATGGTGGGCATGGCGGCGCCGTGCATCTGGATCCCACCCAGCAGTGGCGGAGCCAGGATTTTCGATATGGGTATGCGTGGTAAAAAAATTTGCTTCACGACATTGTAAGAAATAGAAAATTTCATAATAATAACAAAAGAAACATGTTAGATAGTGATGGCGGCATACGGGCATGGTGGGCAGTCTCACAAATTCAAATATTCATAATTCAGAAATTTATATGCATGAGATTCACCTTGTTTTCTCTGTACTGCTTTACAAGTTTTCTAGCAAGCCAATGCAAACCACATCCAAAATTTACTGGATGCTACAATAGGTCAATCGAAACAAAATTAGGGAGTGAAAACAATCATCTCATCTTATCTAACAAATAGGAGAAATCAAGATTGAACACTCGCTGACTCAAAAAAAAACAATCACAGGAATCGGTGCCTGATATGTGTGCACCGGTGGTGCCGCGGCGGCCGCCGTTTCTCAATTGGAGGCGAAGCAGCGAACAGGCGCGAGGAGATCGATCTGCAAGATCCAAGATGGCAGATCGGCGACTATGCCAATGGCAGATACGGGCATGCGGCGCAACGATGTGCGTCACAGGCGGCGGAGGAGGCGCAGCGCAGCGCAGCGGCGGTTGAATCGAACGATCGAGGCGACACGTTCCAGGTCGTGTTGTCTCCTCGGCTTTGTCAATCGGCCAGCCGCATCATTGCCTCAATGATAAGGCCCAGTAGCACTAACTAGCAACGTAGTAGCCCAATCTTGGCCCAAGTGGCGCTGGAATCGTTCTCTTCTTTGTTTCTCTTCTCTGTACGTACAAAAAGATTGTCATATGTGATATAAAGGCATATAGGAGCTTATATATTGAATTTCTTTTGCAAAAAAGATTGGGTATGCATTGCATACCCTTGCATTAGCCTAGCTCCGCCCCTGCCACCCAGACCCATCGTCGATTCTTCACATGGATGGTCGGCGGCATGATGAGGGCTCCGGTGAAGGGATGGAGGATCTCCACCGGAGTACCGGTGGCGGCATACATCTTTATGGCAAAGCTTCGCGCGGTTCAAGCCAGCCGCAAGATCGGGACGACGCGGCTTCCGGTGAAAACCGCGCCTGACTACGGTCTTGGAGGATGATGACGGTGTCTCTGACGTCGTTTCCTTCTCGAGGCATCGTCTTTGCGAGTCACGTCAACTCGATCGGGATGTTCCGGGGGAAACTCCAGATCCGGATCTATCGGATCGGACGGTTGCGGCGCCTTCGGTGTCGTTCTCCCTCCTGGGAGCATCATTTTTGGAGTAAAGTGTTGGCTAGAGGGGACAAGAGAAGGAGTGGTGTTACATCTACCGCAAGGTCAACGGCGGATCCCGGTGGCATGGCGTTGCGGAGTTTCGGCGACGAGTGCATGTGGATGGATACGTGTAGGGTGGTGGCGTTGTCTGACGCTGTGGTGGCGTCGACGGCAGGCCTGGCAAGGCCAGTGCGTTAGTACCTGCTCTGGAGATGGATCGGTGGAAGACGACGGCAACGGCCTCTGAGAGTGCGTCGGACCGGTGTGTGACCCAGTCCTGGCATTGTAGCATGGCTAGGGCATCTGGCTTTAGATGTTAGGCTTTGGTGTGATGTCCGTTTGGTATTCAGTTCGGACATTCGGCACCCCTTCATCAAGTGGATAGGAGAAGCGACATGTGTTGCGAAGATGGTGGGTTCAGGCTCACTGATGTATTCCTTTGTAAGGTCTTTGTGAATAGTTAATAAAATGGCTACATGCATCGTCCAGATGTAGAGGCCGGGGGTATATCCTTCTTTTCTAAAAGAAAATACCCTAACCAAACTTAAAACTCATGAATATCATGAAAAGTACACACATTTGAGAATAGAACCATAAAACTAGAAATGAGGAGCACAGGGGAGGACAAGTAAAAGGATTGCAACACTAGAGCACAAGCGAAGAAACAAACGATGCCATGCTTATGCCTGTTGAATCAATCAATCATCCCCCCCATTTGGTTGCATCGACCCATCCCTTTCACCAACTAGTTTAACAATATTAACATACCCTGTCTCCAAACAATTCCAGCGGTCGCTTTAGAAACGCCGGCAGATTTGGAAGTCTTGTGGCCAGTATTCCTTATGCAACCCTACAAGGCTACAATGTCAAAAACCCCATACCTCTCATCTTTCCGGTCCTCGCAACAACAAGCAAGCATCGCTTTGTTCCCTGAAGAAGATGAACCGCATGAGGAGGATCGCGGGGATGGGCAAGAGCAAGAAGGCCCCGTCCGCGGTTCAGAAGGACAAGGACGAGAGCATAGTTTTCTTCCGGGAGCTGTACAAGCATGAGGAAGATACGGATGTGAACCTCCTGGAGCCGATCTACTCCGTGGAGTTCGACGCCATCCAAGGTGACACCGATCTATCTCTCTCTCTCTCGTCCTTGCACTTAACGTTGTCATGGGTCATGGCCATTTCACCTGGTCACCAGGAACGATTTTCATTGAAAACCATATGCTACTTTGATTTCTGAGTAAAGCTCACTGCCGCGTCTGTGTACTAACTAGGTGGTCACATGTCCAAGCCTCCCCCGGGGAAGGGAGATCTCCTCGTGCCGATCAACGAGAAGCACGACTATGACTGGTAGGTTCTTTTTCTTTTTTCTTTTTTTGAGACAACTGGTAGGTTCATTTGGCACTAGCACCGCTAGAATTGGTTTTTACATTAGAGGGGGTACGCGTGATTTCAGGCCCAAGACCCCTCCAGTTGCACCAATGTTGCCTTCCCTCAAGATGGAAATGGAAGCCAGCTCCTCCGAAACGGTGGTTTCTCCTAAAAAAAAGGAGCTACCCATCCCGATCACGCAACCTGCTAAACCTTCAGCTTCAAGGGTATGCTAATCGCTAAACCTCACCCCGCAAAAAAAAAAAGTACATTTATTCAGCTTCAAGGGTATGCTAATCGCTAAAACTGGGTTTGAAGTTGAACGATTTTTCGAAATCTTGGCTAGGGCAGTTCATCGGCAAGACAGAGGCGCCCAAAACATCAGCCAAGCTTCCAGCAGGTTCTTCGTCAAGCAACTATGCCAAGAGCCAGCCTTGCACGACCGAGAGGAGACCAGCTTCAGCTTACGCTACTCTGCCCAACAGGCAGCAGAATCCAGATGCCAAAGCCAATACTGGCACGAGCAGCAGCTCAAGCAGGGCACACTCGCACACGTACTACGCAAATGCAAGCCAGGACAGCAGCGGTGCAAGTACGGCCAAGGCGGTGGAGGCGCCAGGAGAAGCCCCTTACACGGCGCCCAAGAATCTGCTCACGACTGGGTCTATTTTCGCACAGCGCAGGGCATCGACGACGGCAGTGGCGAGAGCTCCTCCATTGGGCGTGGACGCCAAAGTCGAGAGCGCGAAGGCAAGGAGGCCACCGTCTGCTGCGGCAAGAACTTCCAAGGAGCTGCAGGTAGATGCCAGGAAGAATGCTTTACCGTCCAAGGGCAAGGCTGTGGCCGGCGGCGGCAGCGAGCCTGCCTGCAACAGCGGTGGCCGCGCCGGCACCAGCAAGACCGCGCCAGCAAAGGGAATGCGAAAAACAGACGGCAAGAATGAGCGGAGACCGAGGTTTGCAGACCAGTGAAGAACGAGCCTATCAGTCGACATGTAGTATATGTTTGCAAAAGCGACGATTCCAACAACTATAAAAATTTGCTCCTCCCACTCAAGACTTCTTTCTGTTGATTTGTCGAGTCAAGTATGAATTTGTACTTTCAACTAGGAAATTCAGAGACCAAAAGACAGGTCCATGGACCAGCAGTAATGCAGTATACTGACGCATGTATCAGGGTATTACTATCCTTCCTCTTCATGGGATCACATCAAAATGGGTCATCATAGAAGCGCCGTTCTGCCAACCCCTCCCGAGAACAGGGCAACAGGGTACCACTAAACATCAGACAGCACTGCGGGGCTGACCTGGGGCTTCCCTCGCCCCATGGCAAATCCTTTTGTGCCGTCCGGCATACGCGGACCAGGAGGCGGCTTTGACACCACCGGATGCTCAGCACTGTGATTTGATGGAGGAGTGCCGATTGGATGTCCGCCATCCCGACTCTGGCCATGGTACTGGCCCCGGCCACGGCCTCTTCCCCCACGTCCTCGGCCTCTCCCTTGCCTCATTCCAGCTTTGTCATAGAAACCATCCTCACCCTACATAAGAAACACCCCATTAGACAATCCATTCTTAATCAAGTTTCTGACGCATCAGCATGCTGTAGTACATATAGATACCTGGGCAGCATCCTCTGCTTCATACTCTTCAGGGTCATCTTCATCCGCAGCCTCCTCATCTCCACCTTTTCTTCCTTGACCAATCCCATGTTTCTAGTGCCCAGAAACAAAATTAAATGTGAAAAAGAAAAGCATCTTCTACAATGAAGCATGTGATATAACAGTGATATTAAACAAGTCTTGTGGGAACCGATATTCACTAAGCAGGCTTACACTCGTCAGTCAAATATAATAGCTACACCAAGAATGATGCAAGTGGATAACCCATATTCCAGATGTTAATGACAAATAGATCTAGCCAGGATAGTAAGACAGACAAGGAACACATAGGACAGTTTTGTGTGCATTATGCTCACAATCAATCTATGATTACTTCAAATTTTGCACAAAACATGGAATGACCAATTAAAAAAGACATTGAATTGGTCAGGATTCATTAAGGTACCAGGCAACCAAGCAGCGAACGAACTCTAGGCCCATCCCTCCAGTTTCTGCCGCCACTAAACTCGGCAACCTGTAAACAGAAAAGATTCTTCTTTTATATGCTAGACAAGTGCCAAAGGACGACTGGATAGCAGTCAAGATGACATACCGCCTTTTCAGCATCTTCAACAGTTCCATACTCCACAAAAGCATGCAGCTGCAAGCACAGCAAAATAGAAACAACATTGGAACAAACAGGTGTGAAAATATCTTACGAACAACAGATACATTGCTTCGGAAGAAGCTATGATATGATTCATCAACGTTTAGTATTCATATAGAGGTAGATAGATCGTATACAGACCTTATTAGCAAAAAGCATCTCAATCCTTGATGATTTGCCGGCAGAAATGTCAATCCCTTGTGGATAGCAAGTACGTATTGATTTCACACTGCGATATAGATAATATCAGTCTTCAACATTGCACCCATAGTTAATCATGGTAACAGACATCCATACCTCCCAACAGTTGAGAAAATCCTCATAAGATTCTGATACCGATGATCCTCAGGTAATTTTTCAGCAACAATAATTCGAGACTGAGTACAGAAACAAGTTTCAGAAGCATGACATAGCAAATAGAAGATTGATTCCACGGATTACATGCTAACCTGAACTTCTTCAGCATCCACATCAGAGAAGGGCACTCGTCGCCTAACCATCTTCCCGTCATCTGAAACTACCTATAAATGATAAAAGAAAGTAAAGAACCACACAGGCTATCATTTCTTGTGTTTGGATCGGGGGAAAATTGAACAAGAGTGCGGATGCATGATATCACATGATAGCTCTTTCAGTAGGATGGTACAGGTTTCTGGACACTTTTTTTTTTTGCTTTATCACTGCATGGATGTGCTGAGGCAGTCACCTCCCAGATCTAACTAGCACATATCTTGATTAAGCAGCAATATAAAGTATATGCAAGCCAATTACTTGGGCTGTGTCAATAACAGAAAGAATATGCAAATCCAAAAGAAAGAGTAAACAGGTAAATATGACGATATGGTTGAGATACTTACCAGCTCTGTTGATGTACGTAATGCACCAGGCAACAAGGATCTATCAATTAATTCTCGAATCTTCCTGAAGGATGCAACCACTGTCATCGGCACTGTAAGACAAAAGAAAACAGTGAAAACAGTTTTGATTTTTTTTTGTAAACTACTCGCTTATATTGGAGAAGTATCAACTGTTATCCGGCAAAATAAAACCCAAATGGAAAAAGCACACAAAGAATGGCATGCAGCTCCACGTAATGAATTAATGATGCGTAGCCTACATATAGTAGAAGATTACCTGCCAGAGGTAGTACCACAAGCTGAGCACAACTTATTCCTTAACTTATTAGTATAACAGAAAATACCAAGAAGAAAATTATGGCTATATCAGCACTTTGTAAGATTTTTATCATCATATATGTGCCTAATTCTATTGCTAAATTTTAATCGATTTTGGCCAGCAAACGTCAGATGAAAGAAACATACATGAGAATAAACAGCATGATCGGGTGCTTTATTCAAATTTAACAGGTTAAACTCACCAAATCCATCTGGATCTTTAGTAATATACTTCATCAGATGGTCAGTTGTGGCTAGATTGACATCACTGAAGTAAAATTCCACCTGTCACGTTTCCAAAAATATTACAGTGTCCAATGGATACACGGTTATAAAGATTCATATCAAGCAACTGATGAAAGTTTAATTATATTAATAAATAACTAAAAAGGAAATAGTAAAAGGGTAAAACTAGTACACAGAGTCAATTTCAACTATCTGAGTAAATGTATGGAATAAAAAAAGAAAGGGTGCAGACTATAATAACGAAATACAAAAGACCATTTTTTTCTTGTTTATGACCTCTGTGTATTATATTATGATGATCATTTTATTTGCTCCCACATAAAAAGCAGGGAACACCACAAAATTGACAGGAGTTACATGCTTTTCCTATTCAACCATATTACCCTCAAAAGGTGAAACATTCTGCCTATTACGCATGCAATACAACTGTTGCAATACTACAGAAAGATAACATTGTATAAATTTGTCGTATTTTCTCTACGACTCTCCCCAATCGGTAACTGATAAACTGAATGGAGGATCACATATCTGCCAAATGTTGATGACTTGACGTACACGTAAATCTTATTTATCTCTCTTCTATCCATGCCGCTCCACTCCTGTCATTTAACCCTAACCCAAAATACCACATAATAAGGCAGTTTGTGCCATTTTTATCCAGAATATCTAGTATTCACCGGGAAAAAAAAGTTGCAGATCTGCGAGTTGTCGCTTACAAAAATACCATTGCTCAACAAGTATCATCTTATATCTAACCCCACCCACCTCTCTCAGGTCCATCGTTTAGTACTTACTAATGCATACTATACCATAGTACAATCTCACAACCATACATCTGTAAAGCCAGATTGGTTATCCATGTTATAGTTCAGAAGCATAACACTGGGAGAACGCATCAGATAAATGATGAGAGGATGTGCTTAACCGTATACGAATATTCAAGAAAGCCATTCCCTGATGTCCTACGGTCATCTCTATTGCCAACATATTTGAACACCAAAAAACTAAATTTGCCAACGCATGGTACTATGATCAATGTGTGATGAAGTTATGGAGCAGCAAGCGAACAATCAAATCAAAGGCCATCTCCACGTCTCAAAAAAAAAAACCATGTAAATTTGCCAACGCGTGATACTATGATCGATGTGTGACGGAGTTATGGAGCAGCAAGCGAACAATCAAATCAGAGGCCATCTCCACGTCTCAATAAAACCCCCATCTAAACCTCATTCTTTTTTTCTTTTTTTGGCCAAAGGAAACACTTTTTTTAGGTTTCGTAGCAACGCAGTGGATATCGCAGCAATCGACTGGGAAAAAAAAAGTCTACCTGCTTGACGACCCGGCGAGCGAGCTCCTCGGGCAGGACGAGCTGAGCGTTATCCACCACCGCCGCGGCATCCCCCTCATCCTCTCCCTGGTGGTGGTGCTGGTGGCGGTACTGGTGCTGGTGCTGGTGATGCGGCTGGTGGTGGTGGTGGTGGTGATGGTGGGGCCCGCGGCGATGGGGATGGGCTTGGTGCGGGGCGGCGGATCGGGGGGTGAACTCCGGCGCGGCGGCGTTCAGGCGACCAGCCGCCGCCGAAGAGGGGGAAGAGGACTCCGGGACCTCGTCTTGAGGCATGGAGATTGGAGTGGGGAGGGGAGGGAGGAGGGTTTCGTCTCGCCTCAATTTGCCTCCGCTTCAGGTACAAGGAAGAGAGAGCAGGGAGGAGGAGGCCAACACTAGTACAAAAGGCGGCCACACCTCCAAAACAAAGGAAAAAAAGGGAAAAGTAGTAGCTTAGGGTGAGTTAGGGCACAAATACAAACATAGTAAATCGTCTCAAAATATCTCGGATTTTCTTCAGGCTCTTCACAAATGATGCTGATTTTCAAGTAGTTACGATGGAGTTAATTGCAAGATAGTACATTTGAGGCTAGATTAACAAATGGGAGAAACGTTTATACCCGGCGCACCGGCCGAACATTGGGCCGGTCGCGCGCGGGACGTTCGATCGGGAGGCATCACGTGGCCAGAATAGACCGCGACCCCACCTTATCCCTTCGATATGGTTGCCTTCCTCTTCCGCTTCTCTCTCTCCCCAGCTGCTCCCCCGTCGTCCGAGCGCGCCCCACGGCTTCCGTCGACTATGCGTCGGCGAGCTGCTACCAGAGGTGGCCGGAGATACGAGGCGGAGCGCGCGCCGACGAGATCCACACCTCCTCCCTCCACGCGGCATGCAAACCACATCCGACGAATCTGCAACCACCGAGAGTTTCGTGAGGGGCGGGGTGGAGCTGCAA